TACTGGGTCTATGTCGCGACCCCCTTAGATATACCAGCCCTGGGTCCGACACGCCCAACATAGGGCGCGGCCATTTTGAACCCTGTGACACAGTTTACAGCTAAAGAATCAGATCGCTCACTCTGCGTCGGCACTTTTGATCTCAATGTTCCAGTTTATACACTGTGCAACTCGGACACATACTTTGATTACTATACGAGGCAAGAGAGAGGTCCGACACGCCCAACATAGAGCGCGGCCATTTTGAACCCTGTGACACAGTTTACAGCTAAAGAATCAGATCGCTCACTCTGCGTCGGCACTTTTGATCTCAATGTTTCAGTTTATACACTGTGCAACTCGGATAATACAATATATGACAACCGCCTTTCAACTGGTCCGAGTGAGCTAACTGATTCTTTAGCAATAAACTGTGACTTCAAAAATAATATTCACTGACACTGATAGCAGCAAGCAAAATATCAGGTGCGTTTTAATCATCCGCTTCTGCTTCCGGAATTGTCGGTTTAGTCGTTTTAACCTGTCATATTAAAACAAGAAAACCGACAATTCCGAAGCAGAAGCGGATGATTAAAACGCACCTATTAAAAATATTGCGTCAAGATGTAGGCAACACGTAATAAGGGTTCAAAATGGCGGAGTTTTCTATCTCTTTTTAAAAGGCACTCAGAAAGCTGCGCAGTGCGACCATTCTCCGTATAGTAAAAGAAAATCAAAGTATGTGAGTTAGGCATTCCAACGACCTGTCAAACAATAGCTGCCAGTGGGAAGATCTGGTATATCTGAGGGGGTAACGACATAGTCTTGCATCTTGGACGCTTTTTTTATTATTATTTTATATAATTTTTGTTTCATACAAAGTTGTCCTAAAAGCTTACAAAATGTAATCGAATTTTTAAGAAAATTGTTCATATAAAAGTTGTTTGTGATATAATTCTCTATAATTCTTATTTTGTACATAATTTCTCTAAAATGGGCCGTATTCCAGATATTTGAGAAAAAGTGTAAATTTCGAATTTTGAAGAAAACTCAAAAACGGATAAAGAAAAAAACATTAAATTTTAAACTTAAGTTTTATACCGGCCTGAGGTGAACTGATAAGGTTTTGGACAGAGTCGCAACATCTGGAGGGTACTATATAGCAAGGGCGGCTCCAAGACGAATTTTCGGAGGGGCATTGCCTTTAGATATTTCCTTTTTAGCAATTTTTTTTGAATAAAAGGCTCATAAATCGTAAGAATTTTCTTCTGGGGGGACACGCAAATAGAAAAATGTTTCGAATTAGATGTATGTGGAAAATGTATTAAGTTTGTCCTTTAAACATTTACAGAGGTGCTGCAATAGGTTGTACAAAATATCCGGAAAAAGCCTGTAATAACTATATAGGAAAGTCATGTATTGGACATCAGATTTTTTAATTAATATTTTTATTGTGTTTGACATAAAATATTTATATGTAATCCATCATTCATGATTTTACGTATTGTAGACAAAATACATCGTATGTTGCAACCCTTAGATGTACTAATCTTCCCACTGGCAGTTCATTTGTTTGGAATGCCTAGTTAAATTTAAATGTGTAAACGCCTACTTTGGATAGTGATCATAGAAAAAATAATTAAATCACAATAAACGACAAATTAACCCACTTTCTTGAACTCTAAATTAGTTTTAACAAGCAATATGAACAGTGGTTGAGAATAAATGAATATTATTTTCTATTTGTCAAGAAAGTAGTAATATATTGGTTGCCTAGATGTTAGTATTTTTTTACCAAAACACAATTTTATAAATAATCTAGTCCAAATTAGAAAAAATTTGCATGTAACACGTTACGAAATGTCTTATGTAAAACAAGTGAATATTTGTGGGACGAGCAGAGCGAGGTCCTACAACAAGAACGAGGTTTCATATATAGCTATTTTTCTGCATTCACTTTTCGAAAGTAGGTGCTTTTCCAAATTCAAATATGGCTGGAAAGTTGAGCTTTTCCCACGATTTGTCATTTGGACTTACCTTAGGTGTGTCTCTTGGGCTCCTGCAACGGGCGATGACGACCGGCCGGTCGGTCGGCAGTTAGGCACTTTTCAACAGAATGCGTAAATCTTACGATGGAAAAACGTTACCAAACCGTTCTCCCTTAATATACTAAGTGACATAGAAAACATAACACCCAGTATTAATGAATTTATTACAATAATTTTTAGTATACATGTCTTTGGGTTAGTTCAGTAATTGATCAAAATGTAAGAAAAATCCAACCGTTGGAAAAAAGTAAAAAATTAATAGTGTGTCGGTCCTCCACGATGTCTTATGCACGCAGAAACACGTCGGGGCATACTCCTAATAAGATGATCGATTTCCTCTTGAGGTATCTCATCCCAGGCAACTTGTACCTCATGCTGAAGTGCCGCTAGAGTCTGAGGAGGATGGGGTAAATGGAGTAATCTTCTTCCCATAATGTCCCAGACGTGTTCTATGGGTGAAAGATCGGGAGATCTAGGGGGCCAAGGCAACAAATCGACTTGATTTTCTTCAAAATGGACCAACGTAATTCTGGCTACATGTGGTCGTGCATTATCTTGTTGGAAAAGTGGGTTGGGGAGCGTCCGAATATAAGGCAGAACATGTGGTTCCACCACCCCATAAGTAATGGCCCCCCATACCATAATACCGACAGTGTGGTGCACATGCCTTTCCACGAAAAATTGAGGATCTCGTCTTTCACCACGCCGCCTTCTCACCCTTGCACGTCCATCATGTATGCCCAAACAGAATCTGGATTCATCACTAAAGACAATGGTATTCCATTCATGGTCCCAGTTCAGCCGTTCTCTGCACCAAGCCAGTCGATCACTTCGGTGCCTAGGAGTGAGAGGTAGGACACACTGAGGACGGTATGACGTAAGTCCGAAACTTCTGATACGGCGATAAACAGTTCGCATTGTTATTGGCCTGCCATGTTCTGCAAACCATTGGTCAGCAATTGACCTTGTGGACGTGAAGCGGTCCCGTAGAGCCAAAAGCCTAAGGCGGCGATCTTGGAGTGGGGCCGTTCTTCTGACACGTCCTGTACCTCTAGCTCTTCGTGTACGACCTTCTTGATTCCATACCCGACAACAAACCACCACCGTATTTACACCTCCCGTAAGCCCACTATTCGCCCCCTATCAAACTCGCTAAGCTGTAGAAAATTTTCTCGTCTTCTCACTCTAGGCATGATAAACAAATCAAAAAAGCTCTTCACAAAGTATTGTACGACGATCAAATGCGAATTGTAGCTACAAAACACAATTATCGCGTCTTACTTTTTTGTGAGAACAGGACGATAACACAAAAACCACTCTATCGATATGGCTGAAAAACTGATCGTTTTTTATTCTAACTTAAACAAACATATTCCTAGAAATTCTTTGTAATAAATTCATTAATACTGGGTGTTCTGTTTTCTATGTCACTTAGTATAATTCGACGAAACTGTCGATATTCGTCCGAAACAAAAATCGAAAAAGAGTAAAAATATTCAAACAATTATTAAGAGCCAATCCGCAACACGTGTGATCGTAGAATCGTAGAACAAATCTTGTGTATTATAATCCAAGGAGCAACTTTTTATCTCAAGCGTCAAAGTAGCACTTTCCGCTTTTATAATATACAATTTTTTTTATTATAATATTTTTATTGATTTTTCATTGAAGATTTTTATTCGTTGGAAAGATCATTCATAGCCAGACAGAAAATTCATCTAGTAATAACGATGATTTAAACATCCAAATATCGTATCACTAGAAAATGAATTTTATTCTCAAAATAAAATCTTGTCAAATATTATGGCATACACATTACAAAACTACAAGCGTACTTTAGGTGCGTTCAAAACAATTACCTGCTTCAAGTTCTAGTTTCAACTAGAAACACTGTCAAAACAAACAGTCGAGAGAAAAACTTTATGAGAGATCTAAGAAAATCTAGTGCTTTAAAAAACTCGAAAACAAAGAATATAATTTCTAAAGCACGTAAATTTTCTTTTTTGCAGACCATCTAATGATGTACATGTAAGAGACGTAAACGTATAATTAGTATTGTAATCGATGATTTTTTAAAATGTAAAGAGGGGCCATACCTCATTTAAAAGGTCTCCTAATCATCTATCCAACGGTATAATTATTCAAATATTTAGCTCAACCAAAATTATGTATTCAGTTTGATAGTACGAAATTACAATAAATACTCATTGATTGAACTAAATTAAGTAAGCTAAGAGCTACCACTGGTAATACAATATCGTAGTATTTTCTACTTAGTGGTTCAGAAAAAAATACATAAAACAATAAAAGTGCTACAATATTCTAATTTGAAACTAATTGAGGTAGTATGAGTCAAATTTTTGATATTTTCATTTCCAGTTTATATCAATATCAATAACAATAGCTGATAGTTTATCGGAAAATAAAGGTATTGCACAAAATAATACCAATGTTGTTTTCTTTTTGATGTACAAGGTTCAGGTGTTCAGAGACATGTAAAATTATTAGTTTTAACTTTTTCCTCGATAAAAAATTTAAGAAACAGAAATAAAAAATTCATTAAAATCTACTGCGGACGATATTTTTTGTGCTGAAAACTAATCGAAGTAGTGTTTACAGCACATCTGGAATAATTGGATCAACCGTAACATTCCTGAAAGTTATCTCATAAAGTTGTCAACAAACTGAAAATTTCATTAAAATCGGTCAAAGCCTTTTTTAGATATTAATAAAAAACTATTTAAAAAACTTAACTCCCTGTACATCAAAAAGGATTCTATTTTACCAATGTAACAACATCTCTTAAATTCACAAGATGACCCTTCAAAAACGAAAATTTACGTGTTTTAGGATATCATTCAAAATTCATCTCTTTTTTGAAACAATTTGTCCTATTTGCATCATATACGAGTACTTCCATAAGAAGCATTGAATTATTTTTTGCACTAATATTTTTTTAATTATACTGATATGACAGCCTTCTAGTTATCATCAGAATTAAAACTATGAAACAAGCGAAAATTTTGACTGCACCAATTTAACGTACGCGTAAATTATTTCTACTTCTTAAATTTGTATTTCTTTTTGGTTGGCGGCGGCGGGGGTTTGTACTCCAGAGCCGCAAGGCCTTCGATGACAATTTCGGCGCTCCTCTTCTTGATATCCTCGCGGGAAAGCACCTGGGAATCGGACGATTCGGATTGCATGAACGATTCTTCGCTGCTAACTTTGGGGATTTCGACTGGTTTGCTTCTTTCGCGCATCAACAGCTCGAAGAATCTGTAACTAAGTTCCACTTTGGTGGCGGCCATCACTTCGCGAGCTACTTGAGCGCTGGCGGCTAATTTCTTGAATTTGGTTTTCAGTTCTTCCACCATTAACGTTCCTAAAAATTAATTATTGTTTATAAGAAGTGTTGTCTAATAGTAGGGAAGCCCACGATGCTAAATGGGGATTAACTCGAGCGTCATAGAGACCTATTGGGGTGCAAAGCTTAGATTATAAGGAAAAAATGTCATATAATATATACCTTTTCATCGGTGGGGGAAGCAGCTATAGATTTTTAAATATGTAAAAAATTACTGTTGCATGAACATACTCGAGCGCATCAGATATTGATAGATCAATGTCCTACGTATTTTTAATAATGTACGTATGTTATTCTGATCGTTTGCATGATGCGGGTGGTTGAAAATAAAAAAAAAAAAATTAATCGAGCGCGTCAGATTTTCTAAGGGGGTGTTAAGTGAACCAAAAAATCTCTCATTCAATAATCTGACGATTTCGATGTGACGCAAACTTGCGGCCATTATTATAATGTGCAAAAAAAATTCGCCATTTTGAAATACTCAAGCGGGTCAGATTAAGATATATATGGTTCATCTTTATGTCCTAGACGTGCTGTCTCATAATCTAACGATTATCTAGAGGGATTCGCCTAATATGACAAAAAAAAATTTTTATTTTTTTAAATCATTGTATTAATTAATTGAAAAGCTCAGGAAATAGCATGCAAATAAAAAAGTGTATGTTTTTAAAGTAGAATACTACTTGTATTTATAAGAAAATAATATAAAAAAAAATGCTCAAAATAATTTAATTTTTTATAATTAATTGATTAATTAATCATCATCTTCATCAGTAGAATCATCTTCCTCTTCTGGCTCGATTTCATCCTCAGATTGCGTATCTGTAACAAAAAATCATTAAAATCATTAAAATATTTAACAATATTTTTTTTTTATGTATAACGTGTTTTTTTAATTATTGGAGAAAAGAAATACCTGATTCTGGAGTATCCTCAAGAATATTAGGTGCTATGACTACATCTTCGTACACTTTCGGCAATTGATCACCTGCAAACCAGATCATTTTGAATTTTCCGTCGACAACTTTCCATCTATAGTCCGTTGGTAGATCAATAATTTTTGCATTACTCCACAAGCATGCAATGAATCTTGTGCATAATACTTGCTGGAGTAACTCCAAATCACAGGGTGGCAAGTTGCACGCATCGTAATTCCAAGCACTCAAGGAGAAGGGTTGGATTTATCTTTTACCTTGTACATCTTATTGATGATAAACGCGGAGAGGGAAATATAGGCATCACGCAGTTGCACGCATTAAACTTTATCGACGATGTTGGTTATTTCAGCTTGCGGGAATCGTCAGATCATATATTTTTCGTTATCCTTGAATTATTTCCTTCAAAATAAAAAAAATATATCTACGCTCGAGAATGTCGAGATGACGTTTTTTTTACAACTTTGCTGCCTTCTCCATTCTTTACGTCACTCTCAAATTGTCAGATTAGTAGAATATACACTTTTTAGTATGTAATTAACTCACCCTACCTTAATCTGACGCGCTCGAGAATTTCTGATGATCAATTTTTTTTACTAATCTGATCCTTTATCCTTCACGGGCGGCCTTATATATGGGGCTCATATTTGGTGGAGGTACTTAACCGGGTACAAGGTATCCCCCTGCATATTAATCTTCTGCGCTTTAGTAAATCCCGAAATTCCCGCTTGGGCTCCCCTATTATAATTATAAATAACACCCTATAATAACACCCTATAATACCATATAAAGGGAATTTCAATAATTATTTAACACTACGTTACATCAACCAATGACAATTCTCCTTTATTCAAACACACGCCAATCAAAACAAACTGTATCTCAAAACACTAAATTGTGAAATGCTATTAATAAATCGCGCTAAACGCCAATGTGAAGTTTATCAAAAAGATGACGAAAAATGGACAAAAATCATTTCCGTTGTTCAAATATACCTTGGTAATAAATAATCAACATCACTTTCAAATTATGCATAATTTCCAAACAAACAACAAAATATTCCCATACAATTCTCACGTCTTGTGACATTACCCTTGAAAACTATTCAACCTAAATAATTTTAAAATTTTAAAAGTGAAGCTTTTTTAAAAAGTGATTGAAAATGCTATTCTTGTTGTAGCTGTTAAATTTTGAGGAAAGCATTGTCTTCATTTTTATTATAGACCTTCCCTACCCCTTGTCTGAAAGGTCTTCACAATATTCATTGGTCTTGCCAGTATTTCTTAACGTTAAATGAGCAATTTTACTGACATTTAATTCAGTACCCACTTCAATTAAGATTATATTTTGTCCATTTTTGCTATATCCTTTAATTTCCTCTTGTAATAAATTGTTTTTGTAGTTTCATGTGTTTAAATGTTAATTTAGTTTAATTTTGCTATAGCCTCTGATTTTCAATAAACGCTTGTTGTAGTTTTGTATGCCTAGATGTTAATTTAATTTCGTAATAAATAAATCGTATTTGTAATTTTATATTCTTTTAATTTTTTTCATTGTAAATTAATATAGGTAAGACCAATTCGATAAAACGGCACTTATAAAAGTAATATATTTTTTTGTTCTCAATATTCTACCCTCTCTTTGTAACACCACTGGAAAAAGCTAGACTTATAGGAATTAATTTCAGAAAAAAACCCATGACAACCAAAGACCGCTAACATTTGGATTGCGCCGACTCTACTCAAGTGTTGCGGTTCTTCCGGGGATGAGCAGCATTAAATTGTCTAGCTGAAGCTTTTGCAGATTTATTATTTTCAGAATAGAACCCGACAATTTCAACTGTTTCTTGTATAGTGTACACCATTTTCATGGTTGACTTATTAGGTATTACCATAGATTACCTGTTAATACAGCTGCACAATTCTCTTGGCGGGAACGGTTTGCGCCGATCTAGTCGCGCAGCGCTTATGCCCCGCCTCTTGGGGTAAAATACTACTTAGACCTACAGTCGGGTCCGGTCGTGTTGGGTGACCGGTGGCAGTGTTATTGTTATACGTTTTAATTTTTTATTTATTTTTAATTATTTGATTTAGTTTTCTCACGCTTTGATACTGGGCTCATTCACCGTCATTAAACAGTTTCGTACGATTATGAATCGGTGACTGTGAACGAACAATCTCGAAACAGTTTTTTCAAACCGTTTCCTAAAAGATACAAGTTCAATTTCAAGTCAGTCCCACACTTAATTGTTAAAAGATGTATTGTAGAATACTTTCAATACCGGACCTAACATTTTTGGAATATTAAATGATCCTATACAGGGTGTACCAATAAAAACTCCCAGGCCGGATATTTTGGTAAGTAATAGAGATAATTTAATTCTGTAAAAGCCAGTTCACAGAGCACTAAGAGAGCTTTAGTTTTACATATAAATTGATTTTAAATAGGTCAATATATAGATGGCGCTGCGCTCAATAATTTTATTTCGATGGGAGGATCTTTCCTGTGTAGCGCATCTTGTAAAAAATGCATTTTTAAGCAGATTTTGTTCTATGAACTAATTTGATAAATCTAGCCATTTTTGATATACAGAGTGGGTCACTTAAAACAGTTTCATCCTGTTTTTCAGCATTAATCATTAGATTTTAAGAAAATGCTAAAACAGGTCGACTTTTATTCCAAATTATCTGTCATGTGTCAATCCCTTCCCTTGCACTTTTCCAACACCTTAATTTTACATAGGTAATGTACCATGTATGGCACATCATTGAACAGGTAATTTAATAGTGAATTCAAAAATATATCTAAATATTGCGTTACTTAACTTTTATCGCCCTCTAGGGGATAAAAAACTACTACGTATTATAGAGTGTGACACTACAATGTGTAGTATATCATTAAAAAGGTAATTTTATGGGGAATTTGGAAATATGACTTCATTGCAATACTTTTAATTGTACCGCCCTCTATCGGGATAAAAAAACTGTACGTATTACAAAGTGTGACACCTTATTTGAAAGCAAATTTAATTACTAATTCAATGCATCACATAACATTAATATAAATATCCTCCATATTGCACTTGCAATAATTTTAAAATTAGTCATGCATTATTTTAAACATTATTGCTAACTTTATTTTGTTGCAAATGCAATGTGGAAATATGTATATTAATGTTATGTGGTGCATTGAAATAATAATTAAATTAGCTATCAAATGAAGTGTCACACTTTATAATACATTAGAGGTGTTTTATCCCGATAGAGGGCGCTAAAATTTAAATAATCGCAATAAACAGTCATATTTTTGACTTTTCCATAAAATTACTTTTTCAATGATGTGCCGTACATGATACATTCCTTATATAAAATTTAGGGGTTGGAGAAGTAGAAGGGAGGGGGATGACACATGACAGATGTCTGTATTGTAAAAATGTGTTTAATTTGGAATAAAAATTAGCATTTTATCAAAATCCAATGAATAATGCCGAAAAACAGGATGAAACTATTTTGAGTGACCCACTCTGTATATCAAAAATGGCTAGATTTATCGAATTAGTTTATACAACAAAATCTGTTAAAAATGCATTTTTTACAAGATGCGTTATATAAGAAAGATCCTCCCATCGAAAAAAATATATTGAGCGCAGCGCCATCTACATATTGACCTACTTAAAATTAATTTATATCTAAAACTGAAGCTCCTTTAGCACTATATAAACTGGCTTTTACAGAATTAAAATATCTCTATTACTTACGAACATATCCGGCCTGGGAGTTTTTCTTGGTACACCCTGTATATTTTTATTATGATCCTATAGATTTTTTTAAGTACAAACGTTAACAATACTAAAATTTCGAATTTATGTTATGACTATTTATAAACATTGTTATATTTCCAATTTCAACTGTTCATTGTTCGTTTAGTGTCATCGCAATTTTTTACACGAAGAAGCATAAGACCGTGTTCACCGTCGTCAAACGTGTTGTAACTGCTTCACTGTTTTCGAATCATGATGGATAATCATAAAAGCGCAAATGCGTTTAAGCTTCAAAATCATAATGTTGACCTTGAACCTCTGTC